CCAATACAAACACATCGAGGCTGTCTACAAAAAGGGCCAAAGCCGATCTTTTTCCTGAGGAGGCTGAGTCCTTTAACCATCTTGCCGGACATGTGAGGATGTTTTATGAGTCTGTTGGTGGCCAGTACGGATCTTCTCGCTGTCACCATGCTGGGCAGTGGGCTGAAGGTCGCGACAACAAACCAGACTAAACCAAACTGATCAGGTGAGGGCCGGTGATGTCGGGGACGGGCAGCTGGACACTCTGACAACCGTGGCAGAGGAGGAGGATGCTGGTCCAGGCTTCAGTCCATCTTGGACAATGTTCACACCCTCTCTATGACACAACTACTCCAGCAAAGAGGACACCCTTCCGCAGAAGACTCCTCCTCTCCCAGATGCACCACAGAGCGCCACAGAAGCATCATCTGCCTTTGGTCATCAATCTTACAACGCCTCCCTCAGAGAGTCAAGATACCCCCCCTTCTGTAATTTCTAATCAAAATCATAATTAAAAATTATAGACAATTCATTCATTCTTTTGCCACTCTTTTGCCATTATCACTTGTATTTTGATCTTTATCATATATATATATATATTATTTACATATGTATATATTTATATTTTCTGTGTTGAATGTTATATTATATTATATATATATATATATGTTGGTTTATAATATGTCATTTGTTAATCTGTAAACGATAATACATTTCCCCTGGAATTATAAAGTATTTCTGATTCTGATTCTGATCTGATTTGTTCAAAATAGATAACAAGTAAACAAATTATAATCAATATAAATAAATGAAATATAAAACATAAAATTATAAATCACTACATAAAAGTCAGGTTAAATACGATGGGTTTTAGATTATTTAAAAATCAAAATATTTTAAACTCCTAAACTGTGTTAAAGAGGGAAATAACCCCAAAACAAAAATAACAATAAATAATAATAACAATATATTAAACAGGCAATAGTGTCTGAGTGTCTGATACATTTACAATTAACATTCGGCACATATTGAGACTTTCCATACATATGAGACTTTTCATATGTAGCAAGCGGCAGTGGCCAGTCTGTAGGGAAACTGGAGGGTCACCGGTTCAAAGTCCCACAGACCACAATAGGAGTGTGGATCTGTTAGGGAGAGGTGCCAGTTTCAACTCCTGGCACTACTGAGGTGGCGCCTTGAGCAGGAACCTAACCCAAAGAAACTGTTCATGGGGCGCTGCTAACGTGGCAACCTTTCACTCCACCATCTATCATCCTGTTGATGTACCACCAAGTGCATGAGTGTTTATTTCAGCCTGTGTGTGTAAAAAAAAGGTGAAAACAATTCCCCAATAGGGGATTAATAAAGTACATATCTTATCATAGCGCTATACTTGTTATACCACTTGTTATACCCTTCTTGTTGAGGAGTAAGACAAAGAAGGGAGGTCCAAATAGTAACTTAAGTAAATAAATTATTTACTAGGATTAATTATTCATATAAAGTAGGATTTTATTCATTCTGCTATGAAGTCCTTGAATAGGACGTACTGTAGTAGTGTGTTGCTCACCTTACATACTCTGATCTGCTGTGGCTTCATACAGAACCATACATCACTGCTTTTATGTTTGTATTGTTTTATTTATTTGTATTGTAGACCCTGCATGCAAAGGAGATATCATTTAACTGATAGTTCAATTCAATTTTCAATTCAAAATTTTATTTGTATACGGCCAATTCATAACAGAAGTTATCTCAGGACACTTTTCAAATAAGGAGCAGTCTAGCACCAACTCCTTTTAACATTTACAGAGACCCAACAGTACCACCATGAGCAAGCACTTGCCAACGGGGCAAGAAAACTGCCTTTAACAGGCAGAAGCCTCGGACAGACCCTTCCTCTAGGTGGGTGGTCATCTACCTTGACCAGTTGGGGGAGAGAGGAGAAGAAGAAAGAGAGACAGAGAGAGACAGAGAGACAGAGAGACAAAAACAGGATGTACAGCAACAACAGCAATAGTGTGAGTCCAAAGTCAAAATATACTGTGGGGTAAGACACCATGATCGGACGCTGTAAATGGAAGCCAACAGGCCGCGCAGGCATCAGTCCACATTCTGAATTGGAGAACAATCCAACTCTGTGGGGACGGGAAGACACCATTTATGAGAAAGAAATGCAGTGATTTCTCCAGACAGAACAAAGCATTAAATGGCTTTCTTTGTGTGTGAATATGGAAATAGGGCAGTGCAGTGCAAGGGGTCCTCTGAGACACTTTAATTATGAATAGAAAATGAGAGAAACGGAGCAGAGAGGGTGATTTTTTTGTCTATTCCTCCCACTAATGTCAATGACAATGACACTAGGACATGTTTTACTAGGAAATAAAAGTGATATGCTATTGTGTGTCTGATGGCATACAATGAAGGTTAGGTCACAGTGGCATTGTTTCTAGTGTGCAGGCCACCCACTGAGAGTGAGGATTCATACACCACACATTCATATTGCAGGTCAGTGTGAAGTCTTACATGTGGTGTCACAAAAGGAACTAGTTTATTTGACTGTTGGACATCTTCATAGAGAAGTTCACCCCAGCAGGCAAAATTGGCTTTAGAGGCTTGTACTTTCTGTCGTTTTCTTTATTTGATCAAACTTTTAGTTCCATCAACAACAGCAAGAGAAAAAAATCACTGAGAAATGTAACATTGGGTTCACATGGGCATTTTATCATCTGCATGCCTATCTAATCCTGTCACCAGAATGTAATTAACTCTGTGTTTCACAGTATAGTTGAGGCATCAAATACTTAAAAGCATTGATTCTTTTAGTCTTAATACCACTTAAATCATTATATAAAAGAGCCCTGAAAATGTATTAGTTTATGTAAAAATGTCAATAACACCATTGTTATACACTCACCAAATACATGTTAAATTTTGAAAATTCGATTGTTACTAATTGTTTGCTTAGTTTTTAGGATCATTTATAATTGTGGTCCTCCTCCCTTGAGGAACTTTGTCTAAAGTATTTAAGAGTTAAATGTCAGAAGTATAGACAGACTCTATAAATATAGTTAGAGTCTTTCCAACATTTAGAGTGAGTCATTTAGCCACACAGCATTTTCCATTTCCTTTGTTAATTTCATAGCAACTTATATTGCAATTTCCCCATGGGTGTGTAGCGCCGTGTTATTTGCATATATCACAATCTCAGCATTATTGCAAACAAAGCTTTGTGGCACTCCTATGGTGCAGGCTGTTAGTATAAACTAGGAAAGTATAAACTGAAATAATGTTCAGATCAATTTAAGGGGAAACACAAAAATACAAAAATACAATTTATTTTAATCATTTTGTTTTTCATAATGCAATCAAAGCTAAATAGAAGACAAACAAGTGAAGGCTTTCACGTTATAGATCCTGCATTTTATGGATCCTGCAAACCTCTTTTGATTTTCCAGCTCTTGGTTTGCAAAGTCACTAACCAAGTATTTTTTTTCTAGCAGTACAGTAATCAAGCATTTCAATGTACTGTAACTGCTGTAATATTGCTGGTATTCTTAAAGTGCTGGAGTAGAAATATGAGATGCCCAACCAATTGTCACAAAGTGAAATGTAATTTTATTTATTTAAGTCCTTTGATATTGATTAAACGTTATTCAACCTCTCTATTCAATAATATTACTGGTCACTTCCATAATAACTTATCGTATCCATTTATCACATTTTTTATTGTGTACTCCCTAGAGCACCAAATATGGATTAATCCACAGGGGCCGTCAATTCAATTCAATTTTATTTGTATAACGCTAATTCATAACAGAAGTTATCTCAGGACACTTTAAAAATAGAGCAGGTCTAAACTGAACTCCTTATAACATTATTTACAGAGACCCAACAATTCCCACCATAAGCAAGGACTTGTCGACGGCGGCAAGGAAAAACTGTCTTTTAAGAGGCAGAAACCTAGGACAGACCCCTCGGCTCTA